ATCTGAAATTCCCACATTATATTTGGTTAGGGTTCCATAACTGATAAAATTGACTACTGTTTTCCTTGATTTTTGATGCAAGATAACCTCTTCTTCAAAGCTTTGCCATAGTTCTCTCATCATGGATGAAGAAGACAATCAAGGAGTAGGATTTTGCAATTTGGCTTCAAAGAGTTTTGGTGTTTTAGGTCATGGTTAGTTTAGTAAATTCATCATATATGTTAACTCCATTCGTTATTTGGGGTAGAATATCTTTTTTCAAATCTGATGAACTAGAGTTAAATTATAGTAAAACCTTAAGCATTTAGAAGAGATTTTTCCTATTAAAAAATAAATTAATATTTGATACACTAATAATGTCTAGTTTCTATATACATTGTTAGTTCACCAAATCTTGAGATTTCATTAATGAGGTTTTTAAGTCATAGTGTCTTTTTATTTTGAAAGAAATAAAAGGTGAATCTTATTTTTTTACTTCATTAATGAGGTGTCAAGATTTAGTGACATAATAGTATATAGAAACTATGCACCGTTAAAGCATCAAATATTAATTTTTTAAAAATTCACAACACCCAAAATATCAAAAATAAAAATAAGAAACCTTAAAACACCTTTAAGATATCTAAAATTTCTTTTGTGTCCCTTGAACTAAAAACTAAATATAGTTAGAAGTTCAAACGACTTCGTTTTTTAACCAACCAAGCCTAGAGAGAGAAAAAAAGGGGCAATTATCCACTACGGAGCTCTTCCCTCACCTATAGTGGCAATATAGATAGATAGATGAGACCACCTAAACGAATATCCCATAAATATTTGTGCTAAATTATATATTTGGATATCTTTAATTTTCTTTTTGGTAAACATATTTCCTTGATTATGTTAAGTCATGTAATTCTAATTAAATTTAATTCTTTGAATAGCTTCATAGGTCTTTTTTTCCTTCTTTTGGTTCATCATTTGAATAATTTCATGCAGGCCTTAAACCGCCTATCTAGAAGAACCTTAATTATACCTCTAAGTGGATTTTACTATCTAATCAGTATTTCAGTCAAAATATGTAAAATGATATTAATGATTGAATATGTTATATTTATGCTTTCCTTTTGATATTTTAGTAGTTATTGATTTAAAAGCACGATACAAACCAAAGGGATGGTGTTGGTAGAGGGCTGGGGTTGATTTAAACGCCAGCCCAAAAGTGGGGATGGGTGACTTACAAGCTTTGCTGTCACTTGAGTTTTAGGTTTGGTCCACCCATACATTAATGCTTGTTTACAATATTGGACAAAGTTTATGGTTTAAATTAGAAATATCCACGAGCAACAAATGGCCGTAATTATTCAATAATTGAGTCGATTTGAACATTTTCTTTGGGTATAAGGAATGTTTGACTAACGACATTCCTATATAAATATACATATAAAAATTGGGTTTGGAAAATCTTAGCACCAATACACCAAATACTCTATGAAGTTAATTTTTTTTAGTGATTTGTAATATTAAAAGTAAAAATTTAAAATTTGAAATAAATAGAGGTAAGTTCCGAGGCATAGACAATGATCAAATAAATGTGTGCCATCAAAAAAATTAGATGAAAAAGGTAAAATGCAAGCAAGCAAGGAGATGATTAGAATGAAGGGGAGACGAAGCATACCTATCTTTACACATCATTTAATTAATGCAAGTCTTATGTTGCATGTGATGTACCTCTCCCATCATCACATCATCCCCAACTAGGGGCAGGCTGGACAACAACCATGTAACCCACTAACCTTAGCTCTTGTACATAACGAATCAAACCTCCAAATATAACCTTGATTCTTATCCGATGTCTAAGAGGACAAATTTGGCATCAACTAACTTTGCTTTTAAAAGGCTGAATTAATTTCCAAGCTCCAACTTTATTTTCAGATGAAATAAATTTGTTTGTTCCTTGTGTAACTCTAAATTGTCTCTTTATTAACCGAAAAGGAAACGGTATTTGAGGGCTATGCAAGTTTTGGCAAGTAATGAGAAGATAGGTGGAGTAATTAAGCCAGCTAGGTAGTGGAAAAACCAAAGTACCTTTCGTGGAGGGCACGAAGCAAAGATGCTCAACTGCTAATCATCTTCCCTTATCCAATATATATAAATATATAACTACAGCTTTGAAGTTTTCCATCCACCATCCATGCAAATGCCACACCTAACTCCTTGTATAGTGCTCAATAATCACTGTTACGTTAAAGGAAAATTATTAAATTAACTAATAATCTAATGCATGGCTTTACATTCATTTTATTTTTTAATGACCAAGAGCATTTATTTTGTATAAAACAAATTATACATAGGTGATTTATTACTAAGATTATCCTTGAAATGTACTTGTACATTACAACGTAACTTGTAAATGAGTTCGAACTTAGTTTGATTAAATTATCATCTTCTTTTATGTTTGCTAAATTAAATAAGAACTTCAATTATGAGTTTGTGTAAAGTTTATTTATGAACTCATAAATGAGCTCAACTCAAAGAGGAAATTAAGGTTAGTATTCACCTTTCAATTTCAATAATTTTTTAATGAAAAAAAATCAAGCGCCAAATTAATTTTAAATTTGAATTAGACAAAAGTACAAAATAAAAAAAAATTGAATGAACGAACCCACAGTTACAGTAGTTGTCTTTTAATTTAACTGGGTTAGGCTGTTTTGTGCCAATATAATGCTGGTAATTGGGATAATTGCACACCTAATTAACAGCAGGTAACAGCAAATTCTAGCAGCCTTAAAAGTACTCAAAAAAGGAAAATCCAGCTACTTAACTACTTGGAGTTAGGCCAAAATGGTAAGAGCAAGACCGAAAATAATAATTGATACATAAGTAATTAAGTTATGTATATAGAGAAGATTATTAAAAAAATGTAATATATACAAAATTTTAAGAAAGTCACATCTCATTGTTGCACGAGGCTCCGCCTGTAGAGATTAATTATTGGCTTTTGTTAATATTAAATGAGTCTTCACCTTTGGTGCAAAAGTTTTTTTTTCTTTTTCGGACAAATAATTTGCACTGCTATTGAATATGTGCTTCTTATATCAGATAATATATGTGCCAATTGATGAGGGAGAAGAAAGAAAAAAAATGCTAGCTTAATATATACTAAGTTTCTTTTTTTTTTTTATTGAAAGATAATTTATAAGTTTCATAATAAAAATGGGGAATACTGTATATTTTGCAAGGGGCAGTTTGGTTGGTTCCTGTCCTTTTTTTTTTTTTTGTTTTGTTTCCATAAGCAAAGGTAAAATAATATATGGATACAAAAAGAAATAATTATTTTAGTATTGATAAAATATGTTATTTTAATCTGTAGATTGTAGAAAATATGATTTACTTTTACTTAAATTAATTATCTTATTATTTGTGTTATATTTTATTTATTTATATATTTTTGCTTAATTATAAATTTACTTTTTTATGTTTTCATTTTGTCCTAAACTATCTCTTCAAAAAGAAAATAAGAAAATTATCAGCTAGACGGATTGAAATTGATTTGGGTTAAAAAAAGCGTTACCAAATTGTATTTTCCATACTTTTTTTTTTCTAATAAAAAAGCGAGAATTGTATGCTTCAAAAGTTATTAAAAAAAATAAGTTAATATAATTATTTAAATATATACGTTATTTAATCTCATTTTTCGATGATTAAAAATTTCACCACTGGGACTGTTTTTCTGAAACTTATCTTATGGTAAATTGAATTGCTATTCTACTTTTTATGTCATGAAATTGTATTGTTCAAATTATTCACATATAAATCAAATTATTTCACGACCTAAAAGGCAAGTTTAAGTTTATCATAAACAACCAAAAACATGTTTAATTAAATTCAATAGTTTACGCTCTTGACCCAAAAAAAACTTCTAAACAAAATTTAACGAAATTAGAGAACAAAAAAGCAAAAATAAAAAAAAACAAATGGACAAATTAGACCCTTACAAGAAATGGACCTTTTTCCTTTTTTTTT